AGTTTAGGGGTTTGGGGCTTGTTTTCAGAGCTCTGTACTAAGGTGGAATTTTATTTGTAAATGGTTCTTTAAAAAGTCATTTGTGAAGGAATTGATGCTCAGGTAAGAAAAATTGAGTACAAATCCCACCTGTCATTTGCTACTATGTGTTTCTGGGTAAATCTTATGTCTTCTTTGGACCTCAGTTTCCTCATCTGTAAAATAAAGGAAGTTGTATTAGAATGCCTCTAAAATTCCTCCCAAGTCTACATCTATGATCCTACATATGACCTTTGAGAACCTTGTTGGTTTTTTCCTTAATACTTTAAAAAAGATATATTTATTTTTAAACCTTTCTCTGCTCCCAATTTTCCACCCCCTCCCCCCATAAAAGGCCCCAAGCGCTTGTATTAAATAAATGGTCAAACAAAATAAATTTGTACATTTGCCACATCCTAAAACGTATGTCCTGTCCTGAACCTTGAGTATTATTTCTCAGGACATGCGTAGCTTTGCTTCATCATTGGTCCTGTGGAGATGTGGATGGTCATGGTGTTGATCGGAATCTTTAAGGCTTTCAGAATTGTTTTTCTTTACAATGTAGTGGTTTACAAATTATTCTTCTGCTCATTTCATTCTTCATCAGTTTATGCACGTCTTCCCAGTTTTCTCTGAAGCAGTCAGAAAACTTAAGTGCGTACTCTGTGCCAGCACTTTGCCCTTTGTCATTTTTATAGCAGAATAATAGTATCCCTTTACGTGCACATATTGTAGTCCATTCAGCCATTTCTCAATTGATGGGCACCCCCTTTCTTTCCTGTTCTTTGCTCTAACAAAAAGAGATGTTCTAAATATTTTGGTACACATTGGGTCTTTTCTCCCTTCTTTGATCTCTTTGGGGTAAGCCCTAATAGACCTATCACTGGGTCAAAAGTTATCCTCAGTCTAATGACTTCTGGGTGTGACTTCAAATCATTTTCTGGAATGGCTGGCTCAGTCATCATTAGAATCCAATCTTCCTAGATTGGAGTTAGATTAGAGTCCAGCCCCTTCAATTCATCATTTTCCTTTTCTGTCAACATTGCCAAACTGACTGGTGTGATATTTAACCTCTGAATTGCTTCAATGTGCATTTTTCTAATTGTTAGTGATTTTGAGCACTTGGTAAAAATTTCTTAAAATTAATTTATGTATTTTTAGTTTTCAACATTCACTTCCATAAGCTTTTGAGTTTTAAATTTTCTCCTCCTCCCTACCCTCCCCCCCCAAGATGGCTTGCAATCTGATATAGGCTATACATATACATTCTTATTAAACATATTTTCACATTAGTCATGTTGTAAAGAAGATTTAGAACAAATGGGAAGAACCATGAGAAAGAGGAAACAAAAAAAAAAAGTAGCAAATAGTCTGCTTCCATCTGCATTTGGACTCCATAGTTCTTTCTCTGGATGTGGACAGCATTTTCCATTACGAGTCTTTTGTAGTTGTCTTAGATCTTTGCATTGCTGAGAAGAGATATGTCTATCAAAGTTAGTCATCGCACAGTGTGGATGTTACTGTATACAACGTTCTCCTGGTTCTGCTCATTTCACTCAGCACCAGTCCATACAAGTCTTTCCAGGTTTTTCTGATCTCTCTGGGATACAGCCCTAGAAGTGGTATTGCTGGGTCAAAGGGTGTGCACATTTTTAAAGCCCTTTGGGCATAGTTCCAAATTGTTGAGCACTTTTTCTTATGTCTGTTGATAGCTTGGATTTCTTCCTCTGAGAACTTGCACTGAGGACCTTCATCGTACATAAACTTTCCTCGAGTTGTCTGCTCATTCCTCTACTTTATGTTTATAAGTTATTAGTTTTGGCTTCAGAAACAGTGTGGCTTAATGAATAGAATGCTGGGAATGGAGTCCCGAAGGTTTGGATTCACATCTAGCCTCACACATGTGCTAACCACATGAAACTGCAGAGATCACTGGCCCACGTCTTCCTAGGCCTTATCTCCTAAGTCCTACATGGGTTGGAGTCTGCCTTTGTGGGAATTCCCAAGCCTGCGGTGGCCATTGCCGCTGCTGAACTCATGAAGTCCTTTGAGTAATTTAGGCATCATTTATTTTCAGATAGTCCTACTATTTCCTTTGACCATTTTCTGTTTCGTTTGCAGCATTTACATTTTTTTTTTTATTTTGTTGATTTTTCTGTTCTTAGGATCCCAGAACTACAGAATTTCAGCTGTAGAAGGAATGTCAGAATCTGTTTAGGCTAATTCATCCCTGGGGAGTATCCCATCACCACCTGTCCAACAAATGGTCCCCTAGCCTCTGTTGGAAGACTTTTTTTTTATGTTTTTAGGCAGTTGGGGTTAAGTGACTTGCCCAGGGTCACACAGCTAGTAAGTGTCAAGTGTTTGGTCTGAGGTTGGATTTGAACTCAGGTCCTTCTGACTTCAGGGCCATTGCTGTATCCATTGAGCCACCTAGCTGCCCCTGTTGGAAGACTTCTAATGAGGGAGAGCCCTTTGCTTCCCTTCCTGTTCCATGTCAATTTTGGATATGGGGATACAAAGTCAATCAGTCAGTTAGTCAGTTGGCAGGCATTTATTAAGTACTTATTATGTGCCAGACACTAGGAATACCAGAACAGATGCAAACATGATCCCTGCTCTCAAACACCTCACATTCGAGTAGGGGAGACTGCATAAAATAACTCTGTCCATGTGAAGTTTATACAATGGAAATGGAAGGAAACCACAGGGGAAGGGGCAACCAGAAGAGATCTCCTGCGAGGTAGAGGTGAAGGAGAGCACGGCTGGCATGGAGGACAGCAGGGGCAAAGATGTCGAGGCTGGACGTAGAGTGACTTGTGTGAGGAACAGGAAGGTGGCCATGAGGTTGGCTCATAGAGTGGATGGAAGGGGGAGAAGTATAAGGAGGCTGGAAAGGTAGGAAGGGCTTTAAATGCCATGTTTGATCGTCCCTTTTTTCGTTTTCCTCTTCCACAGTCCAACTAACCCTCCCATCTGTTGTGTTCTGTTCCCTTCCTGGCCCAGCTCATTCTGAGCACGCGTCCTCCAGATGTTCTTTGTGCTGAACTAGGCCATGAGGGCTTTGGATCCCTCCTCTGTTTCTGGCCCTTGCTTCCAAGCTTCTGGACACATCTGAGCTGGTTGTGGACTCCTGTCTCTGTTTCTTCAGATTTCATTCTTATGAGGTTTCCTGTCCGTGCTGGGGTGACTTTGCCTCGGAATGTTAGTCTCTGGGATTCTACCTGCCCTTGCTGTGAACCTTTTGAAATGTGCTCTCCTAGCCCCTGTTGTGTATGTCAGAAATGCTGGCCTTTCTTCTCCTCTGTCACAGATTCTGTTGGGGGAAGGGTGTGGGTACGGGTCGAGGTAGGAAAGAGGTGAATACTCTACTCCTTTCAGGGCCTCCATCCTCTCTGTCCAAGAAGAGTGGAGCTTCTGCCTGTGGTGAAGATAAGATAGAGAATGAGATTTCCCCTTGGTGCCTTCCCTCCCTTTTTAAACTATAGTCCAGGTCTCCCACCCCATCCAACCCCATACATTGTCTTTGAAAGCCGGGCTGTCCTTTCATATCAGAATGCGGTTACTGTTTAATCTTAAATATGTGATCAGTTTGTAGGCCACATTTCCTTTGAACTCTATACCATGCATCCAGTGGTAGGGAGAATCAAAGATGGAGAGTCTAGAGTGGTTTTGACTTGCCTGAGTTCATAACATTTGCAAGACCTCTGCATGGCCCTTAACCCACCATGTGCCTGCCTCCATTCGGATTTATTGACTAGGAACGTCAGTTCAGAAATAAGTGGTTTTTTTTTTAAATACAACTGAAAATTGTTTCCTGTGTCTTTATACTGCAGTTTGTTCATCATTTATGGTATTTAATTCAGCCTGCATATTCATTCAGCAACCGTTTATGAAAAGCCTGCCGTCCATGCCCAGAGCACTGTGGCTGGCACTAACTGAATGAAACAAAGTTTAGATAAGAGAAGTCCGTGTTCCCGTGGAGTTTACAGCCCAACATCACAGAAATGTGATAGGAGCATACTAAAGTGAAGTATTGTGTGAGATGGGGGGGCTCTAATTCTCCTTCAGTATTTTAAGTGACCACTGGTATAGCTTACCTCCATGCCTTAGACCAGTTTTTAAGTTGCCGCTGGGAAAAAAAAAATTTACCTGCCTTTTTTTTGATGAGCCTCTTAAATGAGAATGGTTCTTGGTACTGCCTTTCATTAGCCTTACCCACCTGGAAATTATGTTCTGATGGCTAAGCCTTGGAGACCCAAAGCTCATCTGCAAGTCACAAGATGGTATTCAAGGAAGTCTCGAGTGCCAGACTCTGGTTTTATTCTGAATGATACTTCTTTTCACCTCCATCAACTTTGTATTTTTACTAAAGCCTTGTCACTTTTTCTTTATAAGTACATTCATTAATCTATGTCCTTCTGGAGTTCTAGGAATGAGGATGTGATTCATTGGCTTTGTAGCCTTAGAGGAGAAATGGGAAGGAAATAGAATGGAGGAAGGAATTGTCAGTGAGTTACCTGAAAAGAATTATTTGATTCCCTATTGAAAAGGACCGGCAAGTTACCCAGTCCTTTCTTATCCTTCCCAAGCTTTCAGTTCTACCGAAATTGTATTACTTTCCCCAAAGCTCTGTCTCCATCTCCTGTCTCAGGCATCCTCTCAGGCCATCCAAATGCTTGATGTGCCCTCCATCTTGAACGCTACCTCCCATAAGACTTTTCTTTCTCCAGGCTCAGCTCAGGGGTCACGTCCTCATCCATGAAGGGTGGACGTGGTGAGTTCCCCACTAGAAAGTAGGCTTTTTGAGGTATCCCCAGCACCTGTAGCTTAATAACTGTTTTTGAATTGATTAAGCCAGACTTAATCTGTTCCATTGTGTTCCATCTTGGAGTAGTCAGTCAGCCAAGCAGCTGTCTTTGCATGGGACACATCAGGTTGTCTCCACTGCCTTAATTATTTTGCAAACTTGTGTCTTGTAGAATTGCGGTGCAACCCAGGCCAATTTGCTTGTCGCAGTGGTGCCATCCAGTGTATCCCCCTCTCCTGGCAATGTGACGGCAGGGGGACCTGCGAAGATGAGAGTGACGAGGTTGGCTGTCCAGGTGAGTGATGAGAACACTGGACAAACCTAGAAATGTGGGCCGTGGTCCTGCCGAGTGCCCGGACGTGACTGGATGCGCAGTTACTCTGTACTTTGGATTTTAGAGTTAATAATATTCTTGGATACTAACTTGCCAACAACAGAATGGGGATGCCCCGATAAAACTACAACATCCGAAGTAGTTACATAGTTTTAACCAAGTAACTTTAACAATTTATTTACTGTGTTCTTTTCTGACTCAGAATATGCTACCCAGGGGTTAGTGAGCTTTCCTTTTTTTTTAATCGCTATTTTGTTTTCAATCAATAAACATCTACCTTTTTAAAATTTTCAATGCAACTTTCTCTTCATAATCTGAAAATAAAGTATACTGGTTATTAACTATAAACTAGTAACTCTTGCCCCAACTCTAATCCCTTTGCTTCTACTTGAGAAATAAAGAAAAACAAACCCTGTTACAAACATGTAGTCAGTAAAAATAAATTTCCATATTGGCTGTGACCAGAAAAACGTATGTTTCATTCTACACTCTTGAGTTCTCTGTTTATCAAGCAGGTGGGGAGACTTTTTCGTCATTAGTACTCTAGAATTGTGGTTGGGCATTACTCATCACACTGGTCAGAGTTCTTAATTCTGTCAAAGTTCTTTGCCTTTGCCATACTGATGTCATTGAATAAATTATTCTCCTGATTCTGTTCACTTCCCTCTGTATCAGTTCATATGAGTCTTCCTAGGTTTCTCTGAAACCATCTTCCTTATCATTTCTAGCACAGTAGTGTTCCATCACATTTACATATCGTAGTTTGTTCATCCTTTCCCCAGTTTAGAGGCGTCCCCTCAGATTCCCATTCTTTGCCACCTCAGAAATTGCTGCTATAAATATTTTTATACATCTTTAGAATTTGTTTTGTTTAGTACTAATCCCTCTCTTAATCTTCTTGTTCACTTGTGTCTGACTCTTTGTGACCCCATTGGGGGCTTTCTTGTCAGACACTGGTTTGCCATTTCCTTTTCCAGCCCATTTTATACATGAGGAACTAAGGCAAACAGAGTTAAGTGACTTGCCCAGGGTCACACAGCTAGTAAGTGTCTGAGGCCAGATTTGAACTCATGAAGATGAGTTTTCCTGACTCTAGGCCTGGTGCTCTGTGCACTATGGCACCACCTAGCTGCCCCTCTCTTAATCTGCTCTTATTTTAATTCCCCCTTCTTCCTTCTCTCCTTTGACTCCTATTTCTCTGTTGAATGAAATGTATTTCTGTACTGTTCTCTGTACATGTGTGCATTTTTCCTTCATTTGATCAGTTCAGATGAGAGTCAGCTGCCCCTCCCAGGGGAGATAATTGTCTCGCGTGGTACACCCCCCCCCAATATATTCCTCTTCCTCTTTCTCTCCATTCTTTTCTTAAGATCATCAAGGTAGTGAGCTTTCCATCCCTGGCTCTTCCAGGCACAGTCTTTAGCCTGGATGACCTCTTGTGGGGGTATTTAAAAAACCTTAGGTTATTACACGTCTCTGTACCCTGGTATTAGGCCATCACAGGAAATGCCATTGCTTAAGACTGATGAAAGAGATAGATGGTACAGGAAGACAGGCAGAAGGCAGACCGTGGTATTGCCTCCATTCTGGGTTACATCACAGAGCTGATATCCCTTCATGGTGTGTTCCCCAGTTACACTAAGGGCCCTCCCAGGCCTCAGCTCATCCTGGGACTGACCTTGGGCTCTCAGAGACTCTCCCAGGACACAGACGAGCTCTGCAGACAAGCTCAGTTATGGACCCAGCCACATAGGCCATGGTATGGGAACTCATCAAGCTCAGGAGTGGCCACTGGCTGGTAAATTGTTTTGGCCACAGCAACTTATTGAAATAGTCTGTTAAGCCTGTATCCAAACAGGTATCTAGCAAGCATTAAACACACACCTCTTGGAGGTGAGTTTTTCCTTTGTGAAATGAGATGGGGAGTACATGATTTCTGAGACTCCCCGAAGCTCTCGGATCTGACCCTGCCTTTTCTCCCATGGCTGGAAGGTCTGCTCTAATGCCCCCTGAGATCCTGGAGCAGGGAGGCCCCTAAGCAGCGGCCTAATTCCATCTTGTTTTGAGTTCTTTGGATGATCTGGGCATGGATTTTGTAAGTCAATTAATATTTTTTTCTATTTATTATTTATTGTAAAAATTCTTTTCTTTTTAAATTTTGAGTTCCAAATTCTCTCTCTCCTTCCTACCCCTTCCCCCACTATTGAGAAGGCAAGCAGTATGATGTTAATTATACATGTACAGTCATGCAAAACATTTCCATGTTAGCCATATTGGAAAAAAAAGGCAAGAAAAATAAAGGGAGAACGTGATAGGTCAGTTTCCATTTAGAGTTCATCAGTTCTCTCTCTGGCGATGGAGAGCGTTTTCCTGCACGGGTCCTTCAGCATTGTCTTGGATTGTTGCGTTGATCAGAGTAGCCAAGTCTTTCACAGCTGACAGTCATTACAATATTACTATTGCTGTGCTCAGTGATCTCCCGGTTCTTCTCACTTCACTTTGCATCAGTTCATATAGATCTTGCCAGGTTTTTTCTGAAACCACTCCCTTTGTCTTTTCTTATAGCACAATGGTATTCCATCACAATCATAGACCATAGCTTATTCAGCCCCACTGGATGGGCATCCCCTCAATTTCCAATTCTTTGCCTCCACAAAAAAAAGCTGTTAGAAGTATTTCTGTACAAATAGGAGCTTTGCCTTTTTCTTTGATCTCTATGGGGTACAGGCCTAGTAGTGATACTGCTGGCTCAAAGGGTATGCCTAGTTTTATAGCCTTTTAGGCCTGGTTCCAAATCGTTCTCTAGAAGGGTTGGACCAGTTCACCACTCCATTAACAGTTCACTAATGTCCCTATTTTTCCCTCGTCCTCTCCAGCATTTTTCATTTCTGATAGGTGTGAGGTGGTAGCTCAGAGCTGTTTTAATTTGCCTCTTTCTAATCAATAGTGATCTAGAGTATTTTTTTCATGTGACTCTAGCTAGCTTTGATATCTCCTTCTGAAAACTGCCTGGCTATATCCTTTGACTGTTTATCAATTGGGGAATTGTTTTTTTTTTAAATAAATTTGGCTTGGTTCTATACTCAGTATATATTTGAGAAATAAGGCCTTCATCAGAGAAACTTGCTGTAAAAATTTTTGGTGTTCCTTCATTGTCTGTGGTATTTTAGCCAAATATCAAATACCATCGTGCTGCTGCTGCCGCAGAGAGTTGGCTTCTAAGCCTGGGCTGGCTGGCTAATTCATGCAGCTGCCCACTAGGCCTTCTCACCGGATCTGTCCACAGGATTGTTGTACCTAAAGTGCCCTGTAAACTTTTAAAATATTTGAAAATTTCCCCCCAACTATATGTAAAAACAATTTTTAACATTCGTTTTTAAAAATTTTGAGTTCTAAATTCTTCTTCCTTCCCCTCCCCCCTCATTGAGAAGGCAGGCATTTTGCTATAGGTCATACATGTGCAGTCATGTAAAATATATTTCCGTAGTAGTCATGTTATGAAAGAAAACAGACCAAAAAAAAACCCACAAAATTTTTTTTTTTAAAAGTATGCCTCACTCTGTATTCAGGCTCTCCAAGTTCTTTCTCTGGAAGTGGACAGCGCTTTTCATCATAAGTCCTTTGGAATTGTCTTAGATCATTGTGTTGCTGAGAATGCCTGAGTCATTCACAATTGCTCATCTTGTAATATTGCTGTTCCTGAGTCCAATGTCCTTCTGTTTCTGCTCCCTTCACTTTGCATCAGTTCATGTAAGATTTCCCAGGTTTTTCTGAAGCCATCTCACGTGTCATTTCTTGTAGCACAGCTGTATTCCGTCACAGTCACATACCACACCTTGTTCAGCCATCCCCTCATTTCCAATTCTTCACCACGCCTGCAAACTGTAAAATGCATCTGGGCCTTCGTTATTCTGTTCCCTGTATGTGTGTATGTGTTGTTGCTGTTTTTTTAATGAATTCCATTTAACCATAAGTTCTTTCTCCATTATCTTATTAAAAGATTTCCCCATTTTTCCAAATACTGCAAACAGTTCCTTTTCTCAGCAATATTTTCTTCTTCAGGAACCTTCCCACTTGGCCAATGGAATGTCACAGAAAGTGTATACATCTGCAGGGGTCATGGACTGGAAAAGCATTGGTAAATTCTGGGCAAGAGGATGAAGTCGTGAGGGTCACGGTTGCCATGGAATCACAGGCGTTAGACCCCTGAGTTCAGAGGGCATCTAGCTCAATCCCTGAATTTTCCCAGGACTCCTGGATGCGTGTTGCTCCAAGCCCTTCTTGGACACCTCTCTGTTTTGGACCCATGCTGACTGACTGTACCCTCTCCTGTATCACCTGTGTATATTGTTCATTGAGAAAGGATTAAGGAGATTGTCCAGCCAGGCTGCGTTGGAAAAACAATTTTAAAACCTAAGCCCTTGTGGCGCTACATCATTGCTCTGGGGAGAGAACCCTTAACCTGTTATGTTCTCTCCTAGTGTGTGAACCACGAGAACTGTGGTTGTAAATACGATCTTTGTAATTCAGTTCCTTGAGAGCTCAATTTTGTTATTCCTGTTTTCTAGAGGAGGAAACAGAAGGCTCTTGCTGCCTTTCCTGTAATCACATTTAACAAGATTTTGGCAGTTTGCATTGCAGCAGAGACCCTCCATGTTCCTGCTGCTGCCTCCTCTGTCTTTCCCTCCCCAGTGGACACCGCGCCCATCGAGTTGGGAACGGCAGTTTCCATCACTCATCACCAGGAAATAATGGCAGACCTCCCATGGAGGTCATTGCCATGGAATTCAGACTTGGAATGGCCCTCTGAGATCACTGTTAATGACTCTTGTACTCGCCCCCGCCCCTCCAACAAAAGAGCCCCTGAATCCTCTAGAGTCTGGCCCATAAGTGGCTGGTCAGCCTCTGGCTCTGAGCAACAGTGACTCATTTTGCTGAAGAGGAGGCTGAGGCCCAGAGAGGTCAGGTGACTTGTCCAGAGTCCCACAGCTAAAGAGTGTCAGAGCTTGAAGTCTCAACTTCAAGGTCAATGCCCTTTCATCTGCATCACACTGTCTAGGCAGGATAGCCTAGATGGCATCCTTTCTTCCTCATGTGGCTCCCCTCCTGCAAAGATTGAGCTGTCCCCTTCCTGAGCCTTCTACATCACTCTTCCCCCTCCTTCCTGCATTTGAAGTCTTGTCCTCCAGCGGGTTCAGCCCCATTGTCCAAGGCCCTCTTGAAGGCTTTCCTGATTCTTCATGATGGAAGTTTCCATCCCTTCCTTGGGTCTCAGATGGAACTTTGTGTTGTTTTGGGTGTGTGCCTCTAATCTGTCCTGCCTCTCCCTCCAGCATGGATTGTTTGCCTGTCGTAAGCCTCGGCTTGGGCTATTGAAAGGAATGTGTTTTGTGGCCAGAGAATGGCTGTCTAGAGATGGGAGCGGCTCTTTGTTATTTCTTGGGTATTTCACTGGTTCTGCAATATACCTCGGTGCCATCCCCTTCTTCTTGTCCCCTGTGGTTCTTGGGCCTGTTCTTTTTTTCCCCCGTTTTTAAAAATGCTCTTTAAAAAAATCACAGTTATTTCCTGATATACTCATTAAACTTTACCTTTTCACTGATAAAAATGGTTATGCAAAACTGACTGATGAAGCCACTAAACCTAATGATACTTACTAAATTCCACGCCTGTAGGCCTCTACCTTTCCAGGCTAGAGATTTCTAGGAGGCATAGTTGTGGAGGGAGGGCATTCCAGGCATGGGGACAGGCTGTGCAAAGATACGGTGATGGGAAGTGGACTATGTGTGAGGGATAGCATGTGGGTCAGTGATGAGGGAGGGGAGTGTTAAGTCTAGGAAGGTGGTCTGGAGCCAGTTTGTGAAGGGCATCAGTGAGTGTCAAAGAGACAAGATCAGATTTGGGCGTAGACGCAGTGGGTAACCTTGAGAGTCAGCCCTGTGCTTTATAAAGGAAGGGCGCTTTGGGATCCAGGCGTAAGATGGATGGGAGAAGGGAGAGACTGGAGGTAGGGAGACCAGTTAAGAGGCTGCTCGAGTTGTCCAGGTGAGGCTAAGAAGGCTTAACCTCCAACTTTTCACCTGTACTACAGCATGTACCCTTCCCAGGTGACTTTATGATACTTTGTGACAAAGGTGCTTAATAAAAATAGGCATAAATTTATTAAGCTCTTGGCCTGGGGATTCACTCCCGAAATCTGAGTCCACCTCTGCCTCTTTTCTTCTAAAGGAATACAACATATATTAGGGAGTGGTGGGCGGCCCAGGAATGGAGCTTCTGGTCCGATGAGGGGAGCCACAGGGCAGTAGGAGGGCTTGCCCTTTCCTGGAGCAGTGGCACTATTGTTAGGCTGTCTGGTGCCTAGGGCATGAGCTGGAAGGGGGTGCATGGGGCAGCAGGGGAGATTGCAAGATGCCCGTGCTGAGCAGGCCCCAGAATCCTTCTTGGAAGCCTGTTGGAGGGTAGCCCTAGTGCCCTTAGCAGGCTGACCGACATTTAATAAAAGCTTGTTGATTTTGACTGATATTGGCTTATAATAAAAAGTGTTAAAATGGTGTCTGTCGCCAATTAATTCTTGAACTCTTCTATCGTTTGACATTCTGAAGCATTTTAGGTAAACTTCAAAAAGCATACATCATTCTGTGGTTATTAGACATTTTATTTTACTTCTAGATGTGCCTGGGGACCAACGTTCTTATCATGGAAAGGAGGCCATGGATTCACGGCCCAGTCGTGGAAGAGGAGACACAACTCGCTTCCACACAGTGAATGTAGCGCAGCCCGTCCGCTTTAGCAGTAAGTTGTAGACTTGTGATGGTCTTTGTTTATGACACCTTCCTGCTGGATCAGACACCCGGTGGTTTTGGCTAGACAAAATGATAATTTTCATAGATGTCAGTCCTGTAAGCAGGATTGTGCCAAATTCTAAGTATGTTCTGGTAGGGGTTGAGTTTTTTTTTTTTTTTCTTAAGCCTAATTAGTAATGTAGAGAGACAGCCTAACACAGGAGATAGAGCACAGCCTTTGGAGTCAGGAAGACCTGGGTTTTCAAGTCACTCCTCTGATGCCTACTGGTATGTGACTCCTGGCAAGTCACTTAACTGACTCTCAGTCCTCCAGACAGCTCCTTTATTATGAATATGACAGACATCAAGAAACGCAAACATTTCCCTGCACAAAGGAGAGCAGGTTGGCCTATGAAGCCATGCGTCCCAGGCCATGCTTTTGAGACTGATTTGCAGGACGCCTGCTGACCTCTTCTGGTAAGCAGGAGTTTCTTCCCCAGAAGTTCCCTCCACGAGGGAAGTCCTGGGTCTGGATCATGGTCATTGAGAAAAGGAAACAGTGGTCACTGAGAGCAAGCCTGTTCCGCTCCTTTAAAGACAGTTCCACCCAGATCAGCATGGCCTTGTTTGACAGGCTGCCTAGACTGGCACATCAGAGGAAGACGGTGGGCCTGTTACCTACATGCAAAGCGTTTGACAGCCTCTTGCTCTCCTTGTGGATGAGATGAGATGTCGGCTAACGGCGGATTCAGAACTGGCTGAAGAATTCACTCAGAGGAGTCGTTAGTGCTCTGTGTCAGCTTGGCAGAAGGTCTCTAGTGGGGGACCCCATGGCTCAGTGTTTGATATCCTCATAACTTGGAAATAGAGGGGACATGCTTTTCAGATTTACAGATGACCCAGATCTGGGAAGGAGAGGCAGAAGGTTAGATGACAGGGTCAGGATCCAAAATGTTTTTGACGACCTAGAACATGGGGCCTTTTAATAGAATGTTTGGGAAGTTTTTTGGGGGGGGCGGATCTGTGATGTTAGCAGGGTGGGGAGCAGTAATTACAAGCCACAGATGAGTTGTTAATCTGCATTGGTGGGCCAAATCTAAGAAGATGAAATTGAGTAGAAATAAATAGGGGTTCCAAAAATCAACATGATGAAGCTAGGAAGAGTTGGGATGTGGTCAGGCAGCTCATTTGAAAGAGGTGAGGGGTGTTTTGTGAATTTCCAGCATGATGGTTACCAGTGGTGAGCCATGGTAGTGGCTAGTGAGATCAAAGGCTGCCTCCAGAAGGTCCTGCGCAGGGTGGGCGGGAGGGCTGTTCTCCTGGGCCCTGGTCAGAGCCCACTGTTGCTCCTGGGGTCAGGTCTGGGCAATACATTAAGGACATGGATAAGCTGGAGAGGTCCAGAGCGAAGCAGCCCGGGTGGGGAAGGAAGGGCCTCGCTCAGCACATCGTGATATGAGGATAGGAGATCTTGCGTGTGAAGAGAGGCAGACTTAGGGGGCACGTGGCAGCTGCCTTCAAGCACGGGGGGCTGTGATTTGACAGAGCCATTGGATGTGTTCTGCCATGGACCCCAGAAGGTCTCAAGAAAGGCTTTCAGAGGAGGCAGCATTTTTTTAAACTAGTAATGGTGAAATCTGAGACATATGCAGTCCTTAACATACGTTATTGTATTTGATTCAACAACTCTGTCTCTGCTGGCATTATTATCCCTATTTTATAAATATAGAAATCCGGTCCCAGAGCAGTCAGCTGTTGTCACTTAAACCAGGAAGTATGGGTGGAAGTTACTGAGAGGCAGCTTGCAACTTGACTTTGGGAAATGCCTCCTTACAGTGAGGACTGTCCCAAAGTGGCTTCCTCCCAGTCTTTTTTCTTTTTTTTTTTTTTTTGTGAGGCATTTGGGGTTAAGTGACTTACCCAGGGTCAGACAGCTAATATCAAGAGTCTGATCTGAGACCGGATTTGAACTCAGGTCCTCCTGAATCCAGGGCCGGTGCTCTATCCACTGTGCCACCTAGCTGCCCCATCTCCCAGTCTTTTTGAATTGGGCCTCGATGGTGCTTAAACCAAGGCTGTGCCTAGAACCTTCCAGCTGTCATCAGCTGGAAGAGACTGTCACCAGGCATAGGAAGGGGGCCCCAGCAGGACTTCTCAAGAAGTAGAATTGGGGGATTGTAGATTTCTGGTAATAGGCAGTTTATCCTATTGAGGTTTAGGAATTCTGTGCCTGGAACATATCCTGTTCCATGATGTTGGTGCCTACTGGTTAGGAGTATTATGTATCCCAGATTACCCTGATGTTGAATATCTCTGGATCAAAGGCAGAGGGGAGCAGAATTCTGGGAGTTAAAGTTAGAGAGTCAAGGGGTCTTATCTGTGGGAGAAATTCTTGTGATCCCCAAGAGCAGAGGCATGATCCAGGCTTTGGAAGGGAGAGGTAGGTAGTGCCAGGGACTTGGCCAAGAGAGGACCAGTCTGGCGGTCTTGGAGTCCAGGCATGGCCACTTCTAACTTGAGTGACCTTTTGAGGCCTTAATCTCCTTATTTGTGGATGGGACATGATGAAGACTGGCATTGTGCACTCCCAGGTATGTTGTGAGGGACGTTACAGACCTTCGGGTGTTATCAGAAGCAGCATCCACTGCTCTTCAAGGCAGAAGCGAGGAGTCACGAGGACGGGTTGGGAGCCGGGTGAGGCTGGCCAGGCCTCGGGCTTTGTCTTCTTTGGATTTACAGGGATGACCTGGCAGTTTCAGACAAGGTTATTGATTTTGGAGGGCACGACTGTTGTTTTTTAGTTGTTCTCTTTAGTGGGGAGAGACTCCCTAGATGCCAGTGAGAAAAGGTGGTCCTCATCTTAGCCTACTAGCCCTAACATGGGGGCACCTTTATTTAGGTCTTGTCACCTAGCAAAGCTTCCTTCCATTTGGATGCTTTCAGGAGAATGAGACTCTCAATGGCGTTGGGGATTGGGCTTAGAAAGCTTCAATTGGCTAAATAAAATGTCCACTTGCCTCCCTTCATTGTTTTACAATGAAAACAACCAAGTTAGCTAGGAGTTATCTTTAGAGCTGTTTAAGGAGTAGTCACTGAGTGCACTTGGACTTGGGGCACTGGGTCCTGAGCTTCTGAAATGTGAAAGAGGCAGAACCCCAGATGGTGCCAGGCTGCTTCTTCTCCAGAGCATGAACATGAAAGCTTTGGTTTGAGGCTGCAATGGTTCCTCTTGTTCCTTTGATGAAGAGAGACGTCTTTCCAGAGGTTGTATCGAATCCTGGTGGATGAATGTGACCCAATTGAAAATACCAGCCGGATCAGTGAGCTGCAGCAGGGAAGCCTGGGCACCCTTCAGCTTCTACTTTCGTGAAACTCTTTATTTGCCATAGGAAACGTTTTTGCCTGGCCTATTAGAATGGACTCTGCTGGAGTCCCCGATGTGTATGCACACGTGCATTGTAAGTGTGTGAGTGTGTATGTACATGCACATCTGTGTGGGTGCGTTTGAGTGTATGTTTGAGAGTATGTATGTGTGAATATGTGCATGCATGTGTGAACGTGTGCATGTATGTGAGTGTGTGAGTGTGGGTGTGTTGCTCAGTGTGTACTAGACCTCGGTTGAATTATGCTCTCAGGGAAATGCAGCAAAGGCTTCTTGGGCCAGGAAAATGTATTTTCTTTCATGTTCCGGTCCTAATTGGAGGGGGCTGTTTCCCTTTTGTCCTTCATGTTTCCTAGGAAAGTGCCCGACGGGTTGGCATCATTACGAGGGCACGGCCAGCTGTTACAAGGTCTATCTAAATGGGGAGAATTACTGGGATGCCGTGCAGACCTGCCAGAGGGTGAATGGCTCTTTAGTGGCCTTCACGACCGACCAGGAGCTCCGCTTTGTTCTGGCCCAGGAATGGGACTTACAGGAGAGGACCTTTGGGTGGAAGGACCAACGCAAGTGAGTCACAGAGGCACACAGGCCGGTGAGGAAGGAGAAACCCAACCCAGAGATGGTGGGAGGTGTGCACGAGGGGCCTTACATGCTGTTGTCATGGCAGCTCTCACCACACTGGGGCCCTGTCTGCTCCCAGCACTCTTTAAAGGGGGCCATCCAGCTGGGGCTACAGACCTTGAAGGCCAGGCCAGGCCACCTGCCCAGGCAGCCCAGCCCACTTTGGGGAAGCTCTAGGAGCTGAGAAGTGTTTCTCTCTCCGCGGCTGTTCCCACAGCTGTTGTGTCTGGTTCTGTTCTCTGAGGTCAAACACATCACCTGTGATTCCTGCTCCCTTAGGCAGGCCTTCTGAGGCTGGGGATAGGGATCATGTGTTCTCATCTGATTAAGGGGCCTTCACTAATAGGGAGGTGCTCTCATTGGCTGGGAAATTTAACAGGCTGAGGGTGAGGTGTGGCCTTAGAAGCTGAAGGAGCAGAAGAACTCAGACCAGGGGTCTACATCAGTGGTGGAGGCTCTCTTTTTATTTCACCACGTGACTGTGCATAAAGCCTTTCTGGGCCTTGAAATAAGGTGATGCTGAATCCTGAGGGACACTTTCAGTTCTCCCTTCTCTCCTCTGAAGTCCTCATCTGATTCTGAGGTCTAGAATATTCTGAGGGCCCTTTCAGCTCTGACAGGCTGGGTTCTAAGGTTCCTGCCTGGCAGGCCTATCAGTGGTGACTAGCACCTGATTAGTGGCAGAAAAGCTATAATAGACAGCAGGTCCCAGGGCAGAGGTTCTTACCTTGAGGCCTGTGAACTGGGTTTTTTTTTTTAATAACTGTATTTCAATAGAATTGATTTCCTTTGTAATCCTGATTTTTTTTTTCTTAAGGCACTTGGGGTTAAGTGATTTGCCCAGGGTTATACAGCTAGTAAGTGTCAAGTGTTTGGTCTGAGGCTGGATTTGAACTCTGGTCCTCCTGACTTCAGGGCTGGTGCTCTATCCACTGTGCCACCTAGCTACCCTATAATCCTCTGATTTTGATCTTACGCATTTAAACATGCTATTCTGAGGAAGTAGGGTGGTAGTGGTGGCGGTGGTGGTCCATGCTCTTCCCCAGACCAGAGAGCCACCCAAGGAGCCCATGGTATTCCTCAGATCATGCTAACGGAGGGGCCTGTGGTCCTCCTCAGATTGCTGCCCAAGGGCTTCAGGACAATTAAGGCCCTCTGCACTCGGGCTCAGTGTTAAGATGCTGAGGACTTAGTTTTCTTCGGGGATGCAGAGGATCGGGGAAAGAATCACAGCAGACCGTCCCTTCTTTACGTGCTTAGTTCTTTGGCCCGCATGAAGGTGAATGACAGAAGTCCCAGGGGATTTGTCATCGTGAGAGAAAGATTGTCAGCTTCAAGGTCGGATTTCAGACTGTAGTCTTAGGGTCCAGCAGGAAATTGCAAATATGAAAAGCCTATATTGTGTCTGGGCTTTCCTTTGATTCTTTGTGGTCCTGATAGAATGAGTGAATGACACGATAGATGTTATTATCCCCTTGGTTAAACCAAGACCCAAGAAAGCATTTATTTTGAGCTCTGGAGGTGGAATATGCTACTTTTGGCCCAAAGCTCACTGCTGCCTTTTCTTCAAAGACTTAATGAGATTGTGGGTGAGTGTGTCATTTGCATTTTATAAACGGGATCCTGGGCACACCAGGCTGAGTTAAGTTAGGCATTGGAGCTGTGTGTCTCTTGACTCAGTGGGTCTCCTGGGATCCCAGGCATGGGCCTGTTAGAAGGTGTGCTCTAGTGGGGTATACGTAGGGCTTCCTACCCAAGGGTAGCAGTGAGATGTTTCATTCTTCTAAACCATGTGGCCTTCAGAAAAAAACAGAGGCCGTGCACGAGCTTAGAAAATACAAAGGTGCCTGAGGCGGTCCGGAGCCTGGTGTCCCTGCCACTTGTGAGTTGAGTTCCCCATTGCTGGGCCGCCAGGAGAGTAGAGCCAGCCATCTCATAGAGTTATTGAGCCCTCAGTGAGAGACAGAGAGAAACCCCAATAGGGTTGTTTCTCCTGTTGAAATCAGCCTGGTTTTCTTTTCTCTGTCTATGCAGGTTCTGGGTGGGCTATCAGTATGTCATCACTGGTCGAAACCGGACTTTAGAAGGTCGCTGGGAGGTGGCTCACAAAGGTAAGTGCCCCTGCTCAGGGGCTTATTCATTCATCAGAAGCTGTGGTGGGACAGAGCACTGGCCTTGAAGTCAGAAAAACCTGGCTTCAAATTATCATTAAATCGTCATGTGCCTCAGTTTCCTCATCTGTAAAATGAGTATTTGGACTGCACGACTGATTTGCTGATATAAGTCTGTGATCGAGGGATTGTTCAGCAAGTACTCACTGGGCACCCACCACTTGCTTCTGAGCTTGGCCCTGAGGAGGAGTGCTATTTAAAAGTGAAGGAGCCTTATCTCTCTGGATAGGGAAAAGTTAGATGCTCCTTGGATACCTGTCCTCAGGCCCTTTCCGGCTCTCCAGGTAGGCTCCTGCCAGCAGCCTCACATAGAAATGATAGATTAGGTCCAGGCACAGAAAAGGCGTGACTCAAGGTTTCAGTGACAGCAGTGGACCTGGCCTTGGTGTTGGCTTGTGAGAAAGTGGAGGAGAACCTGGTGTTGACTGAGCAGACGTTTGCCAGTGTGGAAGCTGCCCAGGGCCATCAGCAGGTCTGGTCCTGAGGATCTTGGAGCGCTACGTGAGATCCAGGCCGAGCGGAGGGTCTGTGCCCTGGTGGGCATCCTTGCCAGGCTCCAGGTTCGAACCAGCCTTCTTCTGGAGCCCAGTGACAGCCCAGACCCTGCTCAAGGCTCTGCCCAAGCTCCCCACACAGGCTGCCCCCATGCACGTAAGTGTAGGATCGAGCAGGCTCGTTAAGAAAGCGTGACAGAACCTGCCCCTGGGGCCTCACTAGAGCCCTGCTCACTTTCTTGCCAGCCCTGGAGGAGAGCGTGGCGTCTTTGACTTTGAAGCTCCATCCGGAGGTGTCTCTGCCTTATGTGGAGGCCATGAGAAGAGGCTGAAAGCACTGGAGGTCAGCCAACCAGCCCACGGCCTGGAGGGGTCAGCGTGGCTGGAGCCCCAGCGAAGCAGGGCCTGTCCCAGAGAGGACCCCAGGAAGCCAGATGACTACATCAGAACCTCACATTCAGAAGGTCCTGTCAGTCAGTCAGTCAGTCAGTCAGTCAGTCAGTCAGCATGTATGAAGCAGGACCTCCTACTCTGCAGATTCAAAGGATGAAATAATCCCTGCTCTCAAGATCCTCACGTTCTACTGGGGAGACAAGTATGTACAGGACCAACGTAAAAAGAAGAAATGCAAATAGAAACAAAGAGGGGGATTTTGTGAGCTCGAGATGAGAAGGGAGTACATTCCGGGCCTGGGGGTGGCCAAAGGAGTGGAGATTGGAGATGAGTGTCATGTGAGAAACAGAGAGAAGGCCACTCTGGCTGGATCTTGGAGTATGGGATAGAAGAGTAATGTACAGCAGGGCTGGAAAGATAAGGTGTAGAGTCAGCTGGTTACGAGCTTTAAAAGCTCAGGAGAGGCACTCCCCTTCAGACTGGCCACTCACCTGCCCCAGGGTCTGACAGAATGTTCCATGTTCCACTGCCAGTGGATTGAGATGGAGCCCTGGTGGGCCTCTGGCCTTCCTTGTCTGGCACCTCTTCTCCCACTCCTTGCTGTAGGGTGCCCAGTCTTCTGCCATTCTGTTATCAAGGAGCTGTCAAGAAGCTTCCACAGTGGTTTGTGTGACATGTGTGCATCAGCTTGCACTCAGGCCCTGCTTTGTGGCTGCTTCCCCCCCGCCCTGGAGCCCCTCTGCCTCAGCTAGGACCAGCTGTGTCTCAGCCTGGGCCTCAGTGTCCTGAAGAAGGCAGCCCTGCCCTTGCTCCTTTAGGCCTTGTCCTCAGACGATTGACTTCACCATCCATCGCTGCAGCGCTGAGCCACGTGCTGCTGTCCTGGGCCTTGTGGTGTCAGGTGAAGAAGTGCGTGGAACGGTGCTGCCACGTCTGGACAGGACTTTTTATTGTCCACTTTGTTTCTTTCTTCATGGCCCTCACTGTCTGCTGGAGAACCGACATTTTCCATGAGCCATGAGTGTACGCTTCTAGGCAGTGAGTCCTTGGATGCCCCGTGGTTGTGACCAGCGTGGCCTTCCACGTGGCTGTCTGGTGGGAAGAGAGCCCCTCTTCACCTCCGTGCCGTAGGACAACAATTCGTAGCCCTCGGTGAGCTGGCCATTTTGGAGGAGACCCAGAGAAGAGAGAGTGGACGTGCCCCACATCCCCTGACTCATCCACCCCAGGAACTGGTGAAGAAAAGCTGATGGAACCCCCCCAGAGGCTGCTCAGAGGAGGCTGTGTTACCCTAGGGGCCCCCTGGAGCCTCAGGATCATGCAGCGGTGTACTTTTTTAGGGATCCTGTCAGGCAAGCACCAAGTGAAAAAGCAGCTGGGGCTGTCGGGGGACACGGAATGTAACATCCAAGGGTTTTTTGAATCACCTGTTAATGAGCTCATAAGGACTTGGGTCCCCATGGATGGAAAGGACGCCTGTGCACCTAGAATGGGGAAGGAAAGTCACGCGGGATCTAGTGTGAATGTTTAGCTGAGCCGTCTGGCAGGGAAGAGCCTTGTGGCTCAGTGGGAGGGCTTTGGGTCCCAGGCTCTCAGGGATGGAGCATCTCGTCCAGCCCTTCCCTCAGCAAGGGTTCCCTGGTCCTGGGCAAGTGGGTGTCCAGCCTCTGCTTGAAGACTTCCAGAGAGGGAAGGGGAGCCCTCCGCACGGATTCATGGCCCTACTTAGCCTCTCTGAGCCTCAGTTTCTTCATCTGTAAAGTGGAGATAATCCTTACCTTGCCTGCTTCAAAAAATGAGCTGTTGTTTTTTCAAAAAAGGGAAGATTCTAAAGGAATGGAAAAGATCAAAATAATATTAATACCTAAAAAGGTATTAAAAAAAGACATCAGTAAATGTTGGCTGAAATGCCTACTTACTCATCTTTATGAGACTGCTTTTTCTATCTGATGAGGCCATCCTTAATGAAAATGCACGAACAAGACAGGCCAGAGGCTGTGGCCTACTTAGCCGCAGACCCCGTCTCTGCTGCCGAGCAGTTAGCTGAAAGCTTTGGAGCACGTCAAGTGCAACCTTTGACCTCCCCAGCAAGGGCACATGTGCACTGTGAGACCCCTCGATAGTTGTGATTGTAGAGGGCACTCGGTTCAGTGATCCTCTGCCATGAAGACGCTGTTACACAAAGGGATGGGCTGCTCTCACCCCGGGTGCCCACCAGCATCTGGAGCGTGCTCTGCCCAGGCGGAAGATGCATTGGCTTCTCCAAATGCTTGTTTGCTTCTGCTTTTGTGCCGATTGCAATGGGCCCTCGGCCGTTCTGGGACCTCCTCGGTGAGATCTGCTGCTCTCGTAAGGGACTGGCTTAGTCCTACACACAGGAAAAACCAAGTGGCTTGGGAATGTGCGTTGTTCATCCAAGTGAAATGCACTTGGATGGGCAGCTCCCAGGGAGGCCGGTGAGTTTGGACCAGGATTGACGATAAGGGCAGGGGGCTGAAGGGCCCGGGCTTTTGGGTGGCCATTTCAGTAGTCTCCAGCTGCCTAAACCCAGCTTTTTAATGTACATCCCCTTCCAGTGGCCACCAGTCATGGAATGCCACAGTCTGAGAAAGTCAAAGTTTCGGTGACCCACAGGCCGAGAGAGACGGAAGCAGTGCGTGACATTTTACGTGGCCCGAAGTGACCTGGTGGAGGAAAGATGTCTGTAGGCCTGGAGAGGGAGGGGCTCAGCATGTGCTTAGTACCGATGTACTGATGACAAGATGTTAAAGCTCATACGAGGAGGCACGTGTTGAGTGGATCTGTTGGTGGAAGAGCAGAGGGGAAGGTAAAGGAGGAATTCCAAGAAGCTCAGCAGAATGTGCCCCTCCTCTCCTCTGCCACTGCCCCCATCCCCTCACCCCGGACTGTTGCAGTAGCTGGGGGGGCAGGGGGCTACCTTCCTCAAGTCTCTTTCTGTTCAGTCACTAAAGTGATTTTCCTGAAGTATGGGTGTGACCATGTCTCCTCCTCCTCCATAAACTGCTGAGGCTCCCTGTGGCCTCCATGATCAGATACACAGAGCTCTCCTACCTTTCCTGCCTTCTCACACCTCTCTCCCCTACATGTCCTCTTCTGTCCAGTGCCCCCGGCCTCCTGGCTGTTCCACGTGTAAGACCCTCCCTCCCTCGGCTCTGAACTCTGGCCGTCCTCCATGCCTACGGTGCTCTCCTCCTTCACTTTCCTTCCTTCCTTCTGCTGAAGCTGGCGAAGCACGCCACGAGCCCCCAGGTCAGGGCAAAGTGTCGTGTCCTAGCCCCGGCTTCTCCTCCTCCCTTGTCTAGGAAGAGGCCAGAGTCACACGGCTCGTCACCGTCCAGGCTGGGATTGCAAGCTGGGTCTGCTCCCATCTTCAGAACACTCCTCTTTACTCCACAGCCCTTTGTTGCAGGGATAGTTTAAGGACCCCAGGTGTCCTGTAGAAGTGCGTTGGCAATGCCGATCAGTGGCCAGCTGGGTAACTGGACGGGTGCCTCAGTCTCCTTGTCTGTGGAATGGGTCCCTCTCAGCTGTAGAGCTAGGCTCCTCCCCCTGACTTCCTGGGCTGAGCTGGCCCCTCTTGCCGGCTGTGCCCACACAGCTAGAGCTCAGGCAGGACCTCCCGAGGGCAGAGCCCTCACCCTCGTGGTGCCAGCTTCTGTCCCTTAGACACAGATGAGCTGGCAGTGGATGGGGCGGAGTCCATCTGCTGATCTTCTCGTGCCTGTTGGGGTTCCTCCTCTAGGCCCCTCCGAGGTCTTTTTGCCACCAGACCCCATTTTCGCCTCGGCCGTGCCTGAGAACGACAACGTGCTCTGCGCCCAGCTCCAGTGCTTCCACTTCCCCACCCTGCGGCACCACGACTTGCACAGCTGGTATGCGGAGAACTGCTACGAGAAGTCCTCCTTCCTCTGCAAAAGAAGTAAGCAGCAGCCTCCCCTGCCTCCCCGCCTGGGCCCCTGGGGCCAAGGTGGCCTCCATGCCTCCAGGGATGTGGTGGCCTCCCCTGCCTCCTCACTGGGGCCCTCGGGGCTGAGGTGGCCTCCCTGCTCCCGACTGAAGTCCCCAGGGCCACAGTGGCCTCCCTTGCCTCCCAACCGTGGCTGCCGGGGCTTTGGAGGGCTATGGGTGGCCTCCCCTGCCTCCAGACCACAGCTTCCAGGGCCACAGTGGCCTCCCCTGCCTCCTGACCAGGGCCCCCAGGGCTACAGTGGCCTCCCCTGCCTCCTGACCAGGGCCTCCAGGGCCACAGTGGCCTCCCCCTCCGCCAGACCACAGCTTCCAGAGCCACAGTGGCCTCCCCTGCCTCCCCATCAGGGCCCCCAGGGCTACGATAGCCTCCCCTTCCTCCTGATCACAGCCTGCAGGGCCCCCCATCCTCAGGCCTACTCTGGTCACATGGGTCCTCTGGGCTTTCCATCACAGGGATGCTTGCTGGTTAGCTCTGTATTTTAGTGTGAGGGAAAATTGCCTAATGAGGTAAGCAGGAGAGGCAGCCCCAGCCTGGGGGAGAGTGCTAGTTGGCCTCAAAGGTAGGAAGACCAGGGGTTAAGACCCACCTCTGAGCCCTCCTGGCTGCGTGATCCTGTACAAGGCACTTCCATGCTCTAGGCGGCACCCTTAGATTCCTACCCCAGATAACACTGAGGTTGAGACCAAAACGGGACAAGTTATGGCCAGAGCTCTGCGTGTTCTTGATGTTGTAAAGAGACAAACCAGCCAGGTTATAATTCCACAGTGGATTTGTGATGTGGGGGTCAGGCAGGGCAAGGCGGGCCCTCCCTGCGGTCACTGAGGGAAGCAGACAGACACATGCACGCTCAGGAGTTCACGGGAACTCTGCCATGATAACTGTCATTGTGTTCCTGTTTTAAGTTTATCAGGCTCTTTCTTCACAACAGCCCCATCGGGTGGGTAGTAGACAGATCAGATGAGGAGACAGGGTCAGAGAGCAGCAGGCCTGGCCTGGCTCCCGCGTGCCTGGGCTTAGAAGGGCGAGCTGGGGCCCAGTTGTCACTTAGCAGCTGTGCCCAGGGGTCCACATCGAAGACTGATGCTCATTCTCAGGGCTTGGTGAGCCGCAGACAGGCTGCGCTCGAGGGAGGTGAGCTGCCGCTGTCCTTAATGACACGAGCCAGGCAGGAAGCAAGGGAGTGAGCTTCCAGGCCCCGAGGACTCCCTCCAGCTCTGTGAGACTGGCAGCACCGGTCCTCATCGGACGTGCCCCTCACCAGCCATGTGATCTGGTGGTTTAATGACTTAACCCAAGGCCTTCTGAGAGTGGCAGCCGGTTGGTAGCATGATGTACGAAGCATGTGAGTCTGTGAGTGGGCACAGTACATGTGTACTTTTGTGGGCCTTGGGTGGAGGAGGGAACTCTGTGCACGCAGTCACCCTGCCTCCACTTCTGGCCTCCCGTCCTCCCCTCCTCCTTGGAGTTGGAATCGTTTCATTCATCGTCCTTACACATCCAGCTCCAAGCACAGGACACGTAGTGGGGGCCTATTAATGTTAGCCGATGGTGTCTCAGTCCTTGCAGCCCTCCCAGTCAGCCAGTTCTTTTTGCATAGGTGAAGATTGATGTTGTCTCAGCATGAGGGCCGTGCTCCTGACAGAACTCTGTTCAGAAGTTGACTCTGCTAGGTTTGCGCTGACCATGGAGGCCTTGGTGTGGAGGCTGTGACCACCTGTCAGGCTTGGGGGGCCAGACACTGCACGGGTGTCTTCGGGCCGGGCTGGGATCTGAGGCTCCATGACCAGAGGGTCTGGGATTTTAAAGGGGGCGGAGGAGGAGATTGGTTCCAGGTTCGCTCATTTTCCAGGGGAGGAAACAGCGTCCAAAAGGTGACTTACCCCTGGTCACGTGGAGGCAGTTGCAGGCCCAGGATCCAAACCCAGGACTGTGCCCCCAAACCCTGTACTCCCTCACTGTCCTTTGCCTCTGCTTGTTGTGGCCTCTCGGAACATCTCTCTGCTCTGTGTCTGTCACAGGCCAGACATGTGTGGACATCAAGGACAACATTGTGGGGGAAGGCCACCACTTCACACCCAAAGGCAACGACCCCTGCCTGAGCTGCACCTGCCACAATGGGGAGCCAGAGATGTGCGTGGCCGCGCTGTGCGAGGGGCCCCAGGGCTGCCAGCAGTATGACAAGGACCCCAAAGAGTGCTGCAAGTTCATGTGCTTGGATCCAGGTAGGAGCCTATTTCCCACTCCTCAGGGGGATGGCATGACCCCCTGTGCCAACCACTGTGGGCTGGGGAGAGGGAGAAGGGGGAGACAGAGAGAAAGACAGAGACAGAGAGAGAGACACACACACACACAGAGATAGAGAGACAGAGACAGAGACACAGAGAGAGAGAGGAGAGAGAGACAGAGTGAGGAGAGAAGAGACAGAGAGAGGAAGGGAGAGAAACGGGGGTGGGGCAGAGAGAAGGAAGGGAGAGAGACAAAGAGAGACAGAGGGAGGAGAGAGAAGAGAGGGACAGAGACAGAGAGGCAGAGAGAGAGTGGGAGGGAGGAAAGGAGAAAGGGAGGGAGAGTGAGGAGAAAATGTCTTCCCTGGCCACAGAACCTCCAGTCTCTTCTTTTTGTTTTAAAGTGCTTTTCATCCTCTTGCCTATTACCTCCTGTTCATTTCGTGACAGGTGACCCCTGCCCGTCAGATATTTCCAGTTCCTCCCAATCAGCCAGTGGGCAGAACAACCTGTCTCAGATTGGGGTAGGGGGGAGAAGGGGGAGGGGTCGTGCCACTTTCTTTTTTCTGTGAATTTATGGCTTTACAGGGAGATTTTTTTGTCACCATTTAAAAAAAAAAAGATTGTAGAGTAATTCAAACTCTCGTGTTTAGTAAAGAGAAAATTTGTGGGTTTTTCTTGTGTGTGAGGCAGTTGGGGTTCAGTGACTTGCCCAGGGTCACACAGCTAGTGTCAAGTGTCTGAGGCCAGAGTTGAACTCAGGTCCTCCTGACTCCGGGGCTGGTGCTGTATCCACTCTGCCGCCTACCTGCCCAGAAAATTTGTGTTTTTATTGAGTCTGTTGTGGAAAGAACTCATTTTAAAAGCCTGTGGTGCACTAAATATGCTACAGGTCACAGACTGCTTTGTATGGAATTAAATCCTGGTGCTGGTGCTTAACTCCTAGCTGTTTTCTTTCTTACTCAGCTACAGGATTCATTCAATTTAACCCACATTTATCAGCACCTACTGAGTGTCGCACACTGGGTGTGGACTGTGTGCTGGGGCTATCCCTGAGGCAGTTCCTGCCCTCTAGGCGCTTACTCTCCTCTGGGGTGGCACAGCCTGGGAGCAGCTCATGGAGGACAGAGGCCTGGGAGGGACCTTAGCTGCCCTCTGGTCTGCCTGGGCTCCTGTCACACAGGAGGACCGCAGGGCCAGGCCCAGGTCCGCGACCCTTTGTCCATGCTGGCCACAGGAGGTCTCTCTTTGCCCTGGGCTGGCCTCAGGAGTCCTCAAGCCCTTGGGGCTCACAACCCAGATATTCTTCCCTTCAAAAGCAAGCCCGGATCTCTGCTTGCTGATGGCTCCTCCAGGGTTTACATGGAGACAGTTTCTTTCTGCTGACTCGGGTCTCTTCAGTCCTGCCCCCTTGTGAGGAGACCAGGGGAGTGTCTTTCCCCATCCCATCCCCCACTGTTTGCGTGCTGATGTTTTAGGCACTTAGGAAGGTTTTGCCATGAAGTGCTCTGGGGACTGTGGGAGAATTCTTGGTCTTTCAAGGTGACTTGTCTGGGGATTCATGAGCTCGTCCAGGCAGGAAGTACTGCCTCCCCTAGTGCTGATGGCAGCCGATCCATGCCTCTCCTCCTTTGTTCCTGTTGCCCCTTTCTTGTGGTGCATCCTCCATATTGGATCTGTGGCTCACACTGGGACATTTCTCCCGGTGGCATGTGTGATCTCATGGGGCAGCCCCCATTAGCCTGGTCATCCCCATCTCCAGACCTCGGGGGACATGTTGTGGAGGATGCTGGGCTGCTCTTGGCAGGGGCCGCCGGTAAGGCAAGAGTTCCACCACTGACCACTTCATGACTGGAGCCTTGTTTTGGCAAGAATTTCCTCAACTGTACAGAATCAAAAAAATAACAGCTAGGAGGTAGGAATTCTTTTGACTTGATTTTTACATATCTGTTTTTAAGTAAATTTACATTTTGGGGTTATTCCCAACTTGACAAACATCAACATTAGTATTTCCATATATAAAGAAGAATATCATGTAAATCTTATTTTTTAAAATGTGTCAGGGGTGGGGAACCTGTGGCCTGGGGGCCACACGTGGCCTTCTAGATCCTTGAGTGCGGCCTTTTGACTGAGTCCAACTTTTACAGAACAAATGCTCTTATTAAGGGGATTTGTTCTGTGAAGTTTGATTCAGTCACAGGGCTGCACTTGAGGACCTAGAGGGCCACTTGTGGCCTCGAGGCCACAGAAAGTTGGGCCCATTAGTCTTGAAGCTGCCCTTCTTGTCGGTGTTCTCATCTAAACCCAGTTCTCCTGTGTATTTTTAATGTTAATCGGCGTTCTCACTCTTTTCTTCATCATGATCACTAGTCCTGTCTCCTCTCTTTTTACATCCTCATAATCCTTAAACGTAAGCAAAAGAAAAAAAGAACCCGTCCGTTGGCTGTAGTGACGACCCGTGCCTCATTGTGTGCCGCTTGGTGTTCCGGGTCCTCATGTGCCAGCTTTGGTCTTTCAGAGTCGTTTCCCTTTATGTTTCAGATGTAGAGGTCATTCTCTGGATTCTGCCTGCTTCTCATCACATCACTTGTACTAGCCCTTTCTTCACTGAGAGCACAAGCAGGAAATGGGCGAGCATTCCCCCGAGTTTCATGCTCTCTGAGGGTGGGTTAGTCGCCGACAGGTCCGACGTGTTCTCACTCTCTTTGTTGTTCATTTTGTTCCAGACAGACTCTAGCCAATGTCTCTGAATGTGATTTTTCCTCCACCCCTTTTCATTTCAGGACTCTGAAATCAGATACTTGGAGATTGTAACAAATGTGTTTCAGGTGAAGTTCCTGAAACCGGTTAATTTCCAAACAGGGTGCCGGGCAGACTTTTAAGAAGATGATCTGTGGTTTGAGTTGTGATTTTTTCTGAAGTGATTTGGCTGTAAGGGTTTCTTTCTGTGCTGCTTTGGAAGGTGGCTGGTCATGTTCTGTTTGTCGACACTGTTACTGACAGTGCTTTGTCAGCAGATGGGGCTGTTGTAATGGGCATAATTCAGCTGATCCATTTCTCCCAGATACCTAAAGTGATAATCTCAGGAGACCTACGTTCTTTCGACTGATGGCTCATAACCGCGTACCTGAGGGTTTGCCTCCTTACCCAGCAGAGGGTCGATGGTCCTTAGGTACAGTCCTAGGAGAGTCACAAGAAACACTTTACTGCAAGTGAAGTGATTGCTGACTTGGCGGCCCAGCTACCCCTGAAACCGTACAGAAGGGTTGTAATCTCTCTCCGGAGGGAGAAACTGCAGGTCCTTGAGGTTTGGAAGTTAACTCCCAAACACCACATTTGGATAAGAGTGCAAAGGTTTCCATAGAGGTGGCTTGGCCTTGGGAATTGACTCCTGGACATGGAGTTAGAAGGATCTGAGTTCAGATCTCACGTGCCACACTTACTGCGGGGTCCCAGACAGTTCCCCTGGCCTCTCTTGGGCTTCAGGAAACTTGCCAAGATGATTCCCTAAAGTTATGGATGAGTCTGGGTTTCTGTTGGTGGAGGGACTGCCCTGCACTGACAATCTCCACTTCTCTCCATGTATTTGTGTCTTCAGATGTGTAAGTTGCTTTCCACACGACTATTTGAAGTAGGGGGTTCCCAGGATCGTCTTCCCCTTTTCATGGAGTAGGAAACCAAGAAGACTGGGTGTTACCTGTGACCCAGAGCCAGCAAGGGTCCGAGCTGAGCCCTGACCCCAAAGCTCTTGACTCCACATTCAGATCCCTTTCCAGTCTGCGATACGGCTTCATGAAAGGGGTGTGATGGGGCTCTGATGAGGACGAAGCCCCGCAGGGAGCCCCTTCATTCATCTTTCATGGTGGAGACACAGAATAGGGAGAGAAATGGTTGCTAGTTTGCTTTTGTCGACCTTGGAATCTGTCTTGGGAGGAAAAGAAAAAGGAGGATCTTCCTCCCCTCTTCTCCACGGCCTCTCCTACCAAGACAGACTTTTCTGTGGGTCCTTTTCTTTACAGTCCTACTACCCTCATTGGAAATTCAGAGATCATCATCATCCTTTTTCCTGCTTTTGTTTGGCAAATTTTTTTTCATCTCATTATACAAGACTCAGTTGTACTCACAACTGAATCCTCAGGATGTGCCCTTCTCCAGAACACTTAAGCCAAACAGTGTAAACAAGTGAATAAATTGATAGTGCACGCAACCTTCCAGGATGATATTTGACCATTGATTCTTTTAAAGGTGTATGTCATCAGGACTGGTGTTGCTCAGTGTTTTTATCTTTGAAATGGTGTTCATAACAGATGAGAAATAAAGGAATTATCAGAGTCGCATATGTGGAATTATATACTAGAAAAACTGAGACTTTTAAAAGAAATGGATGGTTCCTTAGAAAAATATAAACCGTCCAAATTGATAGAATGTGAAATAGACATTTTAAACAGTCCAGTCTCAGAAAAGAAAATTGAACAAACCCCAAAGGAATTTCCCCGAAAGGGAAAAACCCCAGTCCAGGCAGATTTACAGGTATCAGATATTTAAAAAGCAATTAATACCCGTACTACACAAGTCATTTTCAACCCTAATCCTCAAATTATATTTTTCAGTAGTAATAATAAAAACTTTGAGATATTTGTTACAAACTAGAAAAGTATATTAGTGGAACTGAGTAGATAGGAACAAATCAGAAGCCATCAAACTCAATGAACCAGTATTTGATAAACCTGAGAATTTCAGTTACTTGAGGAAGAACTCCCTATTTGACAAGAACTGAGAAACCTGGAGAGCAGACTTGCAGAAATGTGGGTGAGCCCCACATCTTGTACTGTAAATGTGTCACCCTACTGAAGAAGCATTTATTAAACACTCATTGCTATGTGCCAGGCCCCTTGCCTTTCAGGGACTCCCATTCCAGGGGGCAGACAGCATATAAACCACTGTGTGCATAGGAGATAGAGGGGAGACAGAAGGTCATCCCAGAGAGAAACCATAGG